AAATTGTTTTTCTGTGTGCAAAACCGTGTGCGAGAGGGAGCAGGAGTATGTTACCTCTGATATTCCTCAGATACCTGGGTAAAGAGGCAGACACAGACGCTGACTTGTGTTTTACTAAAAAAAAAAAAAATACCAAAACAACATAAAACCCCCAACCAACATATTTACCTGTTTCTTTTCAGAAAATGCACCAGGCATCTTTAATATATTAATTTAATGCCACTTCAGTGTCTACAATCATTGATTTAAACCTTGTCACTGTATTGGCCAGACCAATCATGAAAAGAAAAATGACCAGAAAGAGCAGAACAGAATCCATATTTTGTATTTCAACCCCAGGTGAAGAAATCGGAGGCAAGAGCTCAGAAACAGCATTTCTGTTAGACTGGGGTGCCCACACTTGTTTCTTTGAGGGTATCTCATATGCTGTCTTGCATCCCAGCTGTTGGCAACACACGGACTAGAATCAGGCACACAAATTTCTCAGTCAGATTGAGGTTGCACAGCTACAGGGTTACAGCAATATTTTGAAATTTAATATACTGACAATTTAATATAACCACAAAATAATGACTTGTATCAGACCAAACAGTAAGCAAACAAACATGTTTTAAGTTGCATGATGCAACAAGTGTCACAAGAGAACAGCAGAATTAACTTGTAAGGATTTTACAGGAATGGCATACACAGAATATTCAGTTTTAAACACTGATTTTTCTACTTGAGGATTTATGGTATGTTGACCTTTTTTTCTAAAAATCTGTTACATTTAACTTGAGATCACAATGGTGATAAAAACAGTTACATACATTATCTGTTTTAGCCACTCACATTTAAGTCATTTATTAGTAATGATACATCTTTATCCTTGCAATGATGGTGGTATTCCTCCTGGTCCAGATTAATTTTTAATTTTTTTGATCAACTTTAGTCAGTTCAGCAGAACTGACAAACTATTTATCAGTATTACCCTACTACTAGAAACCAGAGAATGAGTCTAGTTCAGTAGTAGGACTCACCTGGCTTTGAGATGACTCATATAGAAGACTTCGACAAGGAACATTAGCAAGTTTTTCTTATTCCATTATAGCATCTTTCACCTTAAATCTAAGAATTGCTGTGTTTGTCATTCTATAATTCTGATTACCTGTTTGCAAGCCATATTTAACAGAAATATTTTCTTCTGTCAATATTATTTGTGCATTAGAAAGAAAATATGCACAACTGTTGCTTCCTACAAAAAGATGGCAAGGTCGCTTTGATGAATTCAAGCCTGTTGGACCATTTTTGCTCTCTAATTTTGCTACAATTAGTGTTCAGGTACTGCAAGTTCAACCCAAGGTCTCTGACCTTGTGAGGAAAGCAGTAGGGGCTCAGGTACTGTCACTGGAATCTGAGTGAATTATCTTGCTGCTTAACAGAACTCCCACACAGGGTCCGCAAATCATGAATACAAATCATTCATTCTGTTGTTATCTGGCAGCTCTCAACCTGAAGGGGTGAATTAACAGGTTCAAAGCACAGGCTCACTGAGTCTTAAACGTGTACCCCTGCATAACTCCCAGAGAGTGCTGCATGTTCAGCTGCTCAGTACCCTTTAGTTTAACGTACTTCTACAGAAGTGATGCAAAACTACGTGTCAGATACGCTGCAGCCCAATAATGAAGAAAATAAAGTCAAATTTTACTGAAGCATAAGAAAATTAAACAGGAAGACAGATAGTAATTTTGACTACAAAAGGTAAGTTTTGCCTTAAATATTGAAAATAAGAAAGCTCCAAAATTGTCTTAAGTGGAATACTTAATTTTCTTTTTTAAATTAACCACACACACACAAGCATAAAAATCTTAGTGTGATCAGTCTTACAACTTTGAGATTTGTTATTTCCAGTTGGAAATACATCCCTAGCATTACCGCTTTGCATCTAACGATGTCCCATGTACTGGGAGAACACCCATTCACTGAATGGATACAACATGGGAGTGACAGAGCTGTAGCATCATTCATGCTCTTTAGTGAATCTTTATTTCACTAAGGCATTAACAACTACTGAAGTTTTCTGCTAATGGCAGTGTTATCAGCCAAAAGCAAAGAATTTAGGCAAGATTCAGATAATACAGCCAATGAACTGTTCAAGAGGTATAAACAATATACAGGAGTGCAATGAACATAAGTCTCACAGAACAAAACTGTCTTGTGGCAGGAGCATCTGTTGCTTCTTAATCCAGGCTGCACGGGCATAACAGAGCTACATCCTCACTACATCCTCCCATGTAGTCAGAGGGATGCACAGAGAAGGCTCTGCACCTGCAGGTTTTGCTAACAAAAATATATGACATTTTAATAAGAACACTTTGAGTGAAGAATGGAGCAATGATTGTAATAAAAATTATTCACGTGGGACAACACAAGTGCTAAAACATTTAGGTACATCTCTTCAACCAAAAGGCAAATGTTACTGCCACTGAAGAGTGATATGAATACCTAAGGGTTCCTGCAATATGCAAGTCATCTGGTTTACACCTACATACTAACCCCAGTAGGATAAAGAACCAAAATGTGCAAGCAGCGTATATGCAGAGCACTTTGCAGAAAAATGCTAATTTGGACAGTCTCCTTTTCAGTTGTATTGGAGAACAAACACTGCAAGGTCACAACAAAGAAAGAACTACTTTAGATTTAAGATGGGAATGAAATTAAAACTCACCCAGTGCTGCAAATAACTAATCCTGCACTAAAGTATATGTACTACATTTCAACATATCCTAAATTTATAGTCTGTCAAGTCCCCACCTATGAGAATTTCTGCTGAGTTTTCAGTTCTTAAAACAGTGATTTATAGTAACAGACTTTAAATACAAACAACCTGCGTTAATAGTATAATGTTACAGTATGGTGTGTAATAGTACAAATGGTCATTATACATAATAAAGACTTACTTTTCAGTATGCTGTACAAAGTCAAGGCAAAAAAAGATGTTTCAGACACTTTTTTTTTCTTTTTCAAGAGAAATGAATAAAACATGTAAAACTGGCGACAGACAATGAAATGCAAAAACAGTTTTCAAAATTCTTAATGCATACACTCTACCCTAAGCTGTAAGGTGGCCCCGTGATGTTCAACCATCTTATCCCCATCTTATCCCTACTTCTTAAATTGTTAAGACAGATAGGATTTTACTCCACTTATACATACAGTGATTAAATGCATGTGTTAAAAAATAAAGGCCTTTATCCAAGAGAAAATACAGGAAACATTACAGTGAAGAGCACACGGTTTCGCTGCAATAGCAGAAGGGACGGAGTGCCTTGAAGGCCGCCTTCTTGCCAGCAACAGGAGATCTCTAACAGCTTGTCAAAGAAACAACGGTACTCGGTAGAAAGTCTAATACAGTAAACACAAAATACAGAGTTCAGAGATCTTTAGTGTTTGTGCATAACTTGCCACCCATTTCTCTCCCTGCAGACAGTGGGAAAAAGAATACATTTCAGTTTTCATACTCAATGACTTAGAAACAAAGTCAGTCAAGCTTCCTACATGAATTCACATAGTGAAAAGTCCTTCCTTCAAAAATATACAGGATCACTCAACTCATTTTCATTCTCATACACCATTTAAAAAACTATTAAAACTCTGATTTTTTTAAGCAGCATATTTTGCATTTGTCAGTGGCAGACTTGTTGTAGAAATCTTAGAAAGTTAAAATTATATCATACCATACAAAACCATGTAAACAAAATGGATAGTTTTTAAAAGGCATGCATGCTCTTGAAGACGATTATAAAGTGTTTATCTTTGCTAAATAAAAGGTATCTTGCTTAGCATTTTTAAAAGCACCGTAGTGATTTAGGACCCTAAGCCCAAATAACTTTAAATTACATTTGGGCTCCTAAATATCTGAATCAATTCTGTAAAATTACTGAAGCACTTTGAAAATTTTTTGCCATGTCTCTGATCTTGCAGAATTAGATTTCCTTAACCAGCAGCTAGCTTTGAATCTGAGACAACATTCAAGAATGTCTCATTAATATAATCAGCTGCAAGTTTTTGGATCCTCCATAACTTAGTTCATGGTATCTACGAAAAAATTTTCTAATAAGATAAATACTTTGTGACACCACTTTGCAAGTTCCTTTTTCACAGAATACAACAATCAAATTTGAACAAGAATATGACCTATGTTCCTTCTGAGTAGCTATTAATGTCATTTGTTCAACCTGTTAAGACTGAGAAAAACAAACTTACAAAACATCTGTAGCATAGCATTAGGTAAAAAGGAGCATTTTTGGCACCATACATTTTTTAAATCTAAGCTTTTAGGCCCAAAGTATAGCAAGTTCAGTGTACCCAGTGGCAGCTGGGAAAGCCTCATCTGAAATGCAACATTTTTAAAGGATAGTTGGAAGATACTATTTTATGATCATTAACTGATCTCCAAGTAACACATACACTGGAACCAAGCCTAAATATTCATCCCAAACGTCGACATATATACCTTAATACACATATATATATAATGCAAGGATCTTGCACACACTTGCCAGAATCCATATTGATATGGTCAGGGATAAAATGCAGGAGTGTCTTTTTGTTCTTCATTTACCTTCTTAGTGTCCTGACTAACAAATTCTAACGTTTTCTTTGAAGTTTAGCTGCATGTTTGCTATGTTACCTTGGGCCACAGAGTTACGGTCTGTACCTATGCTTGTACTTATTATCCTCATGTTAAATGTGCTTTGCAATTCAGCAAGATCTAGTTCATAGCTCTGTAAATAATTCCTTGAAAAAGGAAAAGCTCGCCTAATTTTTACAGTGCCCAAGGCAGCCAAGGTTCTGTGTGTTGCCACCAGGTGTCTCACGCCACACAACAAACCCACAGCATCAGCAAGTTCATTTAAATCCACCCTCTATAAAGGATCCCACAGGCACAAGATTTGCTAAAGCATTGGTAAAAATACCTCTACAGCTGGTTTTATTCTGTATTCAATTGCACAACTTCATCCAATTCACTGGGTTGCTTTATTTCCTTTAAAAGTGGTCTAAGGTATACTGCAGTTGCTAAAAGGACTTCTGTTTTTCTTGGTCCTCTGTTTGTTGGGTTTAAGGTTGATGACATCTCCACCATTAAGAGTGCTAGAATTTTGGTTGGAGTGACTTCCACCAGCTGTATTAAAAACACCTACAGAATTTAAAGATAAGAAAAGTATTTGTATTTCTTTACTTCCTGCAGCATAATACATTTAACACTTAAGAAGCAACACCCGCTAAGGCATAGCACTGCACCTCAAATGCACACACTACTTTTTAAAAGCTTTATCTATTTCTGGGTCAATTTTGCAGCTAAATTGGAAGCAGAGGCAGTTGCAATTACTAGCCAGGCAGTATTTAAAGCTGGCATGCATCTATGTAATTGAAGGGCAGTATATGAACTCATCTGTGTATGGGTATGTTACTAACTGCACAAAGTTATGGGTAGTTGAGTAATATAATAAAAGAAAAACATGACAATTTTAAAGTCAGAAACTTTGCTGATACAAAGGTAAGTAAAAGACCTGAATAAAAAGGGAGAGCTTTAAGGAAAATAAACAAACTGACTCAGAAATGCTTTAAAGGACTACAGAAGTTCAATGTTTCCTTACAAAAGGCAATTTAAAAAGTCCTTCAGATTGCATGCCAGACTCTTTCCCTGTGAGTCTCTTAAGTCCACACCAAGATGAGCAACACTAATTACATTTAAAAAAACAACAAGCATCCTTTCTGAAGTCCTTGCACAATCTTGTTTAAGTGAATTTAATAAAAGGACACTCGCCAAACAGTAGCTAGAAACTTTTATACATCAGTTTGACAGTCTTGTAACTTTTAAGAGTCACAAGGTTATTTTACAGAAGGAAAGAGATGATATCCTAAGATAGGAAGGTAATAATTAGATCCTGATTCACCTTGTATTAATTCCATAAGGAAAGAAATGAGAACACAAGCTTTGATGGAACAAAACACTGTTTCAGGGGTTTTTTTTATTACAGTATACATACCAATCTTGTTACTGCTTGTATGTACTAGTTCTGAATCTTCAGCTGTTTGTTGCTTGAGCTTTTGAAGATACTTATCAGCCAAATACTTAAAAACTGGAATGTTAAAAAGAAAAAAGGTACATCACAGAATGCTTAAAATCTTCATATTAATAATAACGCATTTGTATCAAAATTCTGCAGTGGCAAAAGCGCATTCAACATCACAGGTTTAGCCCAATCTGGTGAGTGATTCTCAGCAGGCCCATGTACCTGGGCAGAATCCAGGTTAGTCCAGTGTCTGCCCAGGTCTTACAGTGTGCAGCACTGGAGTCTTGCACATAAGCACCTCAATACTCCTATAAAAGAGCTGGCACATATATATTGCCAAATGTTCCAATTCATGCAACTCGGAATTTTTTTAAGTTGTGTAGGAATTTAATACATATATTTTGTTTGCAAGAAGCCTTAGAATAATAACAGTCATGTAAAGTAAGTCTATTAATAAAACTTGGCAGCAACATTTTTCTAATTAACTAATGTTACCCTCATTTCTATTGAGGAATAAAAAGTTGACCTAGAAATCTGAAAAAATATATAACTAAAGCAGAATTTTCAGAACTTATACATGTTATGATTATTTACATTTGTAATTCAACTCATGTAAAGATGCTACAGAAGCATTTTACATTTTCTCTTGCAGATTTTTTCTCAAGGTGAATGATGTTAATAGAGAAGAAACATTCAGTTTGCTATTAAGTTTAAATAATTAAACAAAAATTCATTAGATATTAGAATTCATGATTATTTAAACCCACACCACAAAAGACAGAGACTGAAAATTATAAAAGTACTCTCATGAAATTAAATATATGCATTAAAAAGAGGTACTTGCAAACTAATAAAATATCATCAGGAGAAAAAAGGCTGCACAAAATGCAATCTTTTAATTTACTTTATTTAAATATAGCGATGAAATAATTGCTTATATTAATTATTTATTAACTATTACCAATTACATACAATCCTAAACATCCACTTGTCAGATTATGTGACCAATACATCTGTTCTAGAACAAGCAGCTGTCACAAGTATTGAGGCCATGTTACTGAGAACGCAGCTGCGATGGGCAGGACACGTCTCCAGGATGAAGGACCACCGCCTCCCTAAGATCCTGCTCTATGGTGAACTTGCCACTGGCTGCCGCAAGAGAGGAGCCCCGAAGAGAAGATACAAGGACTCCCTGAAACATCTCAGCCTTGGCCATATTGATCAACATAACTGATCTACTCTGGCCTCCAATAGGGAGGTCTGGAGACACGCCATCTATAATGCTGCTGCTTCTTTTGAGAACACACGCAGGATCACTCTTGAGGAGAAAAGACAATGCAGAAAGAATCGTGTCTTACAGAATATACCACCTAAGGAGTCTTTCTGGTTGCCTTTTGCAACCAGATGTGTCTATCCTGTATTGGCCTTTTTAGCCACCAGCACACTTGTAAAAAATGTGGGTAGAGCCCTCCCCAAATCTTCATTCGCGAAGCCTAGCCATGATTAACAATTACAAAATAATCTGTTCAGTAATATGTATATTGTGATAATTGAACTTCTACATACATTTTTTTCAAAAACTCAGTGTTTATTGACAGTCATTAGGACTAAACAGCCTTAACACCTTGGCACTTGTAAATATTGCAGCTATGCACTGTGGGAGAGAAGGGAAAGACGTACACAAAGAAATGGGCCTAACACACTGACACCAAGTAATTCCAGCTATGTTTAAGGTGTGCTGCTAAGGAATATAAAAAGGATTGCCCACAGTGTGCAATGATGTGGGAAGTAACAGATGAGCTCTGAACTAGGGGGACACAGTGCAGGGGGCAGGACAGAGGCCCCCCCTGCTGCACCTCCTACCTTCAGTTACGTTCAGGTCTTCCTTCACGGACGCTCGGTAGAACCTCACTTTTAGCTTTTTTGCCAGTGCTTCTGCCTCCTCACTGCACAACAGAAGACAACTTTGTAAATCCCTATCTGTTTCACTTGTCAGCACTTATTCTTATAAATGAATTGCTTCCTGATAAGTTAAACATGGCAAAGTGGGTTGAGAAACTCAAGACAGTAAAAAAGCACCTGATCCTTAATTTCTTTACAATATCTCCATTATAAAAAGAAGGTATTTCACATGGAGTTTCTTAATGACCCAAAGTAATCGCTTTTCAGTATTTATTGACTGCATTAAATAAAGCTTCCCAAGGGTCTGAAGGTGTCAGTGAAACTCAAAAGAAAGGAGGCTGTAATTAACAGCACTAGAATCAGGACAATTACCACTGCAAAGTCAAAGCAACAAAAAAAAAGTAATCCTTAAGTATATCTTAATGAAGCAGAATGCTAAGCAATCAGATGAGTGCAGAGATGAAATCAAGAATTACTTTTTTCTGTGAAAAGAAAAAGAACTTATGCTAAGTTTTAAGAAAAAGCTGAAGAAACATATGAATACTTCCCTATGAGAAGTCACATCATCAGAAAGATTACGTTACTGAGGCAGACAGTGTATTCTGAGAACCAAACCTAAGTGACATACCATGAATAATGGAGGAGTTCAAATGCAATTTTGCTTTTCCTTTGAAAAATCCTCAGTATTCTTTGCAGAGGGAGTAGAAGCTGATTCATGCCATCAATAGCAAACAGATAACAAAGAAAGCCAGTGTAGGAAACAACAGAAAAGAAGAAATAATTTAAATCTCTCAGGAAGATGGTAGAAATAAAGGAAGTGGAGAATGATAAACTTCGCCATGCACTACCTTCTACGTGATATGCTGTGGTAAATAAAAGTTAGCTTTTGTTAAGCTGATTTTACAGCAAGAATGAAATTGGTCATACACACAAAGGCAGAATGAACAGATAATAAAACCTTAAAAAAAAAAAACAGCAAGAAAGATTCAGCAGCATGCAGTTTGAAAATATAACCACATACATATTTCTATAGCTATAATGTTCTGATAAAAATCAACAAAACACAAATTAAAAAAGAGTGAAATAAAGAACATTAATATGCTTTTTCAAACAACCTGTTTAATACTCCATCGTTTTAGCAAGTATTCACTAGCCAAACTATACAACGTGCCTTCACTGGTGTACAGCACAGTTTAAAAGTAGATGTGTATTTTAACAGAAGAGGAAATTTACAGTTTTAGAATTTCTGATTTAAAAAAAAAAAATTAAAAAAGGGGCATGAATCATATCATGGCACAACCAAAGTTTTTATATTATTCCTCTATTATTTTTGGCTTCAGAAGTCGACGTGAAGCAAACAGAAAGCTCTTAGTTTTGCAAGCACGTCTGCCCAAGTATCTTGGGCAGCAATACCCATCCTCTGTGCTTCTAGGGCATGTCTGGATGCTGGGCACAGGTTGGACAATGCAGATACTCTTAAGTCTTCACCAGAAATTCCCACAGACTTCTGGTTTTAAAACTCATGTATACAGGGGGCACATATTGATCTTTAAAAACAGTATGATAAAACTCCTACTTCTTTATGCAAGAGTCATCAAGAAGATCAATCTTATTCTGCACAAGAACTGTGGGAATGTCTCCAACTTCGGTCACAACTTTTTCTTTCCAGGTGGGGATTGCTTTGAAGGAGTCTCTGTCAGTTGTAGAAAACACAAGAACACAAGCCTGGGCTCCTAGAAATATACAGAAAATTACAAATACAAGTAAATACAAATCAGCTGACAAACAATAAGAAAAATCCATTATAATATATTTAAAATACGAGGGATTTTTCAAGTTCCTCCTATAAAGTGCATTTTTCCCTCTAGCTTGTGCCAAACCACTGGTCATAAATTCCCCAAATGAAAATACATTGCCATATTATTTTGATTATTATTCCTACTCTTCATGATGGCTACGGATCTGTTAACTTTAAAGCTAATTATAGCATGGTGAATATATGCAGGGGAAAGGAACAGGAGGGGATGTGGAAAGGCTGGAGAAAGGAAAAGGGAGGTTTTTTTATTGCTCACTGTTTTCCAGGCAGTTTAATGGAGACCAGAAGGCAAATATTTTTCCCGTACATAGTATCTGTAAATCACATTTCATGTTACTCTTTGTGGTACAGTAATTTGGATTCTGAAAAGCAGAAAACTTAAAAGTTTTCAGATGAAGTTGTGATTATTTCAAGTAAATTGTTTAGTAGCTTTTTGGAGAAAATAAGTGTTGTATTTCTAATTCATACTCATTCTATCAGAGGACTGTGATAAATTATACAAAATGTTTTGTTATAAACCACAGTTAAACCCCATCGATACTGAGAAGGTGCTTCCACAGCTGAAATATTAGCGTGTGGTCTTCTGACTGTCCAGTAGCCCTTGGTTATTCTCAAGAAACTAATTTTCCTTGCACGTAAACACATGCTGAGACGCTTTATTATTTATATGCCTTCAATATATTTACTAGTTAGTAAGAAAGTGTAAAAGTAATAGATAGCTAATGTTTTAAGACTGTAGTATAATCTTGTGATGAATATCTCAGATTAATTACATATAGCATGAAAAATTTTTAATCAGTATGAATTTTCTTTTTTCTGTGAGTTTCACCAAATATCCCCCATTCCTGTGTTCTGTTTGTATTTCTTTGACACAAAGCAAAGTTCTCTTAATCATTAATTATGAGCTACAGCTAGAACTATTACCAAAAAAAATCCATTAGTTGACAAATTGCTTATGAAATATAAAAAGGTCAGAGGATTGCAACATCCTGAAACAGCATGGCATAAATATTATTTTATCTCTAAATGAGGTGATTTTATACCATAGCAATATATTTTTCCCCACCATCAGGCAATTAGTTTGCAAGAACTGAACAATGGAATTTTGCCAAGTCATTCATCTCTCTCATGTTAAAAAACCAAAAAGAAATATTTCAGAACCATTGTTAACTTATATGCAAAGAAAACTTAAGTATGCAATTTGTAACTGGCTAAACAGATAAACTGCTTTGACATGAATAATAGTTTATTTTATGAAGTAAATACACTTTGCTTATTACTCTTGTGTTAAGATATTCAAGGCAGACTGTACTAGCAAAAGAACTGCTGTGCCTAGTAAACTATCTTTCTAGGATGACTGGTAGATTTTTTTCTCCCTTGGATTAATTACGAAGTTTTTGGAACATTTACAAATATGTGTCTTACAGAAGTAGTAAACACCTTTAGAGGGAAAATATAAATTTGCATTTGATTGTTTGAATGTCTACATTCTGCCCAGTTTCTGTGCAGATATTTGTCTCATTTCATTCCATGTTTTCTAAAGGGCACTATTGAGCATCCTGCATAAAGTGGTACATAATTAATAAAAGGATCTTGTACGAAGGGGAAAAATATTTAAGAATTGAAAAAGACGAACTAAACATATTACATTCTATGTATTTCAGAGATCTGCTGACCTAAAAACCCCAACAACTACCAAATAATGAACATGGTATTTTCACCTCTATAGTAGGCCTTAGTTATTGCATCAAATTCTTCTTGACCCGCAGTGTCCCATAACATTAGCCTGACATCTTCATCATTAACTCTGAAACAAACAACAAGGCTTTGTGATCAATACAATAAGAGGAGCAATTCAAAACAATTGACATGGAAATACTTATGTATCTACAGCGTAAGTAATCCAAGTCAAATTTAACTGGATTTAAACATCATGTAACTTACTATTAATACATTCACCTTCATAACATAATATGGAAACAGTCCCTCAATTACATCATATGCTCTTTACTGAGCATATGATGTAAGTGGTCTGTATTACATTTTCCTCTTCCTTTCCTCCTCTTCCTCTATATTTCCCTCTACAAGGAAAAATAATATAGACATCAAAACAAAACTTAGGTGCTTGAAGAATGGTCCTATTGTCTTTTTAATCAGCTTACAGAATTCATAGGATTTTCTTACTTCTCATTACCACAGTATTTTCCACTTTATAATAGGTATTACCTATTACCTATTATTACCATAATTAGGTATTACCTGCTTATACTGCATAAAGACATTAAATATTGTTTTCCACAGTCATTTTTATCTACATTGGCTAATAAATTGGTGTAATCATTTTATCATAAGCAGTTTCACTTCTTCCACAAGAAATTATTGAAAAAAATTTAAAAAATAATCAACACGTGGTAGAATACAAAGGAAACTCGTCAAAGAGCTTAGTACGACAGAGGTTCCAGATTTTATTTATAGTTTTAAATTTTGGATGGAGAATAAATGATATAATTTTACCCCACAGTGCAAGAGAGAAAACAACTGCCTTTACTGTGCTTCAGAAACAGCAGGCCTTGTCTTCCAAGTCTTTGTAAATCTCACGATTACAACAGAAGAAAGAACTAGAGAGAAAAGTAAAAGTTAATAGTATGTCACCTCCTTAATACATACTGGATTTGTCTTTCCAGGAAATCTACACCAATAGTTTTCTTGTAGTCTTTTGTAAAAATCCCCTTGCAATATCGCTGAATCATACTGGACTTCCCAACAGCTCCATTTCCTACAACTACCACCTTGATGGCAACTTCCATATCTTCTTCCAACATCTTTGTGTCTCAGGCAACTCTCTGCTTTATTCAGGAAACTGTTGATTCTGTCAACAAAGCAAATAGCTATTATGTTCATAAAAATGCTGTGAATAGAAAGCAAGAGGAAAGGTGATCACACACATCAGGATGCATAGAGATAGTACAATTTATTTCTGCCTCAGTCACAGACTGTTTAAGTGACCTCAGGCAACTTATTTAACGAACTTTGATTTGCCACTTATTAATTAGAAATTAATAAAAATCAGAAATAGAAAATAATTTGTTGGGCTTATTGCAAAGATATTTCATTCAAGTTTTGGTGGATATTTTTTTTTTAATGAGGAAGAAATGGAAGCAGAGAATCACAAAAGCATGGAATCATTAAGGTTGGAAAGACCTCAAAGATCATCAAGTCCAACCATTAACCCAGCATGGCCAAGTCCACCACTAAACCCTGTCTGTAAGTGCCACATCTTTTAAACACCTCCAGGGATGATGATGATGCAACCACTTCCCTGGGCAGCCTGTTCCAATGCTTGATAACCCTTGCAGTGAAGAAATTTTTCCTAATAAACCTCTGCTGGCACAACTTGAGGCCATTTCCTCTTGGCTGTGGCTAGTTGCCTGGGAAAAGATGCTGACCCCCACCCGGCTACATCCTCCTTTCAGGTAGTTGTAGAGAGCAGCAACGTCTCCCCTGAGCCTCCTTTTCTCCAGGCTAAACAACCCCAGCTTCCTCAGCCTCTCCTCACAGGACTTATCTCTAAACCCTTCTCTGGACATGTCCCAGCACCTCAATGTCTTTCTTGCAGTAAGGGGCCCAGAACAGGACAAAGTACTCGAGCTGTGGCCTCACGAGTGCTAAGTACAGAGGGACAATCCCTTCCTTGGTCTTGATGGCCACACTATTTCTGATACAGCCCAAGATGCCTTTGGCCTTCTCGGCCACCTGGGCACACTGCTGGCTCATGTTCAGCTGCCTGTTGACCAGCACCCCCACGCCCTTTTCCGTCAGGCTGCTCTCCAGCCACTCTTCCCCCAGCCTGTAGCACTGCATAGCGTTGTTGTGACCCAAGGGCAGGACCCAGCACTTCATCTTATTGAACCTCACACAGTTGGCCTCCGTTCATCAATCCAGCCTGTCTAGATCCCTAAGCAGAGCCTTCCTACCCTCCAGCAGACCAACACTCCCACCTGACTTGGTGTAGTCTGCAAACTGACTGAGGATGCCCTCGATCCCCTCATCCAGATCATCGATAAAAATATTAAACAGGGCTGTCTCCAACACTGAGCCCTGGGAAACACCACTAGTGACCAGATGCCTGATGGATTTAACTCCATTCACCACCACTCCCTGGGCCTCTGTCCCTCAAACACGGGTGTGCCTCCCCTAGGCTTTTCTCTAGGGAGCCTGGTTTTATTCCTTTCCCCCTTCAAATCCAGTTTAAAACTTTCAGTGAGTCCTACTAACCCCTGTCAAAGATCTTTTCCCCACTTTGAGACAGGCATAACCTATGTGTTGACAGCAGGCATGGTGTCGTGTAGACCCACCCATGATCAAACCCACAAAATTCTGCCCATAACACCAGGCTCTGTTTTTTTCCTTTTTATTCTCTGCTACTGGAAGGACAGAAGAGAACACTACTTGCACTCCTGATCCCCTAACCAGTCATTCCAAGGCTCTGAAGTCTCTCTTGATTGCCCTCGGACTTGCTGCAACTTCATCACTGCCTATCTGATAAAAGCTAAGTTTCCCCCGCGTTTTGCTGTGCCGGGATATCATCACAGTAACATTTCGCAACTGCAGAGTGGCAAATTTACCTCCCAAGAGGCACGCCACCCTCCTTTGGAAGGATGGGAAATACATCCCTTATAAAGGCTCTGCCCACCCCCCCACTCGCACTCCGTGCTGGCAGAGTTGCGCTACCCGGCACCCTCGCTCCGCTCGCCCAGACAGACGCCGTTTCTGGGCTGCCTTGGTTGCACTAAACGCCAGCCTACATCCGTTTCTACAGTGTCTGGCAAGCCCCGTTAGCACCGGGAGTCCGTATGGCCATTCTGGGCGAAGACGAGACCCCCGAGGGTCTCCGCGCAGACACCCACCGCCCCCTCCCGACCCTGCCCGGGGGCCACGCCGAGGACGGAGGCTCGGCCGCCCCGGCCCCTCCCGCGGCCCCGGCCCCGGTCCCGCTCCCCGCCCGCCCGGCCCGGGATGCGGCGGCCGCCGCCGGGTCCCGTCCCCGCCCGCGGCCCCTCTCACCAACCGCCTGCGGGAGCGGGCGGGCGGGCAGCGCTCCCTCCGAGGGCACAGCGGTGCAGGGACGGAGGCAGGGAAGAGGAGACGGAGAGAAAGCGAGAGGCAACCGCTCCGTGGGGCCGACCCAACCCGGACGCACATCCCGGCTCCCCCGCCCGGAAACGCCGTCAGGACCGGGGGCGCCGCTCGGGGAGGTGCCTGCCCGCTGCCTCCGCCCCCGCGGCGGCGAGACCCCCGCCGGGTGGGGGTTGGCCGGGAGGCTCCTGCCAGGGGTTTGCGGTAGGGTCGTTGTCCGCCTGAGTCGGGCTTGAAGCGAGGGAGAGGTTGCTTTTTCGTCTGGGTTCCTGAGGAAAGATACGGGCAAGGCTGATCTTCCCGGCCCCTGTCTGTATTCATCCTTGTTCCACTCCCTATCCGCCGGCCTTCCTCACCTCGTCCTTCACGGAAAACAGTGTGATCAGCCACAGGCTTTCTTTAGGCTATCAATGAGGGCAGCTGCCGTTCCTGTGTAGCTTTTTTTGACCAAGGTGTGCCCATCATCGTGGCACATGGTCTGCCAGCGCCCAGGTTTTATATAAAACAGGGTATGGTAAGTTTTGGCATGACTGTAGACATGATAGTCTTAGAATCTGAAGATGTTCCCTTGTTTTGGTTGGCTTGGGGGTTTTCAAGTTAAACTGACACAAAATGCCCCCTGTCCTAAATCCCCTTTTCATGCTGCAGAACACACCTCTTGGGCTAGGGTGGCTGCTCTCAGTGCCCCCCCAGCCCTCCTGCTACTCAAGTATGGCCGAGTAACACTCGGATATTGCCAAGTGTGGGTTGCTGAAACCTGCCCTGCCCAACTGAGGGCTCTTTATGCCTGTCTTGTGCTTCCCAAGGCCACCTCTTCACTCTAGGGTCAACTAGTGTTGCCTGTGTCTAAATAAATACCTTTTGGATTAGCACATTTTGCAGCTGCATCCCAAAAGAATTGTTAGATTTCGTGCATGGTTTTTATTTTGAAATTTATATGTTCATTTTGTTAGTGCTGACACTGGCTTGTAGTCTCACAGTCTGTCTGATGCCAGGGCTTCTCTGTACCAATAGGCCTTGAATTGGAGAGCCCTAACATTATGAGAACTTTGTTACTTGCCTAATACCAAGTAACACGTTACAAATGTAGCTTATTATACTTCCCTGATTTTACCATGAGAAATGTGAGGTGTGTGGCTGGGATTCATCTCACCTAAGACCTACATTGTAAACATTTGTATGATATTGCTCACTTTCAGATAGATGTCAAGTATTCCAGGCAGACTGTTCCTCCTTCTCTCCATTGACTGGAAAAGGAGCCTGTGGCCACAGCTCTATAAGGTTAGAGGAGATATAGCCTGTCTTAAGTGCCCTGATTTAGTCAGTAACTTAGTGATGGCACTAAGTAATTTTAGTTTTTAATTTTCTGTTCTTTAAATTCTATATATTGGGTAATGCTTTTGTGAAGTGTAAGGCTAGAACATGTGCTGTGACCTGTCCTATTGGCGATGCACTGATATTTCTTTGTCAAGGTCCAATAATTCAGTGAGGCTAAACCATTCCAGCATATCGGATTGGGTGTAATGTTGGATATATTGGGTATATTCAGGAAACTATTCTTATCATGTGCCACAAGGAAAAGAGAAAAATGGAGGAACTGATACATTCATAGATTTCAAGGCTTTAGCTTATACATGATTTGATGACTTGTGATGGGATCAGCCAGCAATGTGACTTATTTCCAACTAAAAAATTGTATCTCTTTTAAATTTGTCTAAATTAAAATTCAAGTCACTGGATCTTACTACATCTTTTCATGGAGACTGGCTGGCACCTATTCTTGGATATCTTTTCCATTGGCAGATACCAGGGCACACATCAGCTGTGAAACTTCTCTTCAGCAAACCAGATATCCCAAGCTCCCTAAGACACTTACCACAATGCTAACTTTTCAGCATCTAGATCACTTTCTGTGACACACTTTTGAACACTTTGAAGTATTTTGATATTGTAAGCAGAAACACCTAATTAGCAAGCAAATCATAGTGTTATAGTAGTAGATGTACAAAGGTGAGACAAATTCCTACCTTCTAGTTTGTCTTCCTCTTACAAACCCCCAAAAGGTCAGGCTAATCCCTTTTGCCATACCATTTCATCAAAGTTTCCTATCCAGACAGTTTCCTGTATATTCTGCTGTGATTACTGCTTTCCAAGATAGACAACAGGTTAGCAAAGGCATACAGTGCTTTTGGAAAACTCCACAAAAGAGTATGGCGTAATAAACACTTGAAGAAAAGTACAAAGATCAGTGTTTACAAAGCCATAGTGTTGTCCACTCTCTTATATGGTTCTGAATCATGGGTCATCTACCGCCACCATCTACGTCTCCTAGAGCGCTTCCATCAACGCTGCCTCCGTTCAATCTTAAACATCCACTGGTCATATTACGTGACCAATACATCTGTTCTAGAACAAGCAGCAGTCACAAGTATTGAGGCCATGTTACTGAGAACGCAGCTGCGATGGGCAGGACACGTCTCCAGGATGAAGGACCACCGCCTCCCTAAGATCCTGCT